GTATCTCCCATTGCGCACGAGAATTTCACAGACGACCCCACGTAACTTCGACTCGATTGAAAAGGCAAGCACGAGATCTACAGCTTGGTGTTAAAAAATATATAAAATATATATGTCGTTTTATAAACGCCGGCGCTTATAAATTTACTCGATTATAAGCCCACCCCCCTAAAAAAACCTGTTTTATTATTGCCCCCCATGGGGGTATATCCGGGGTATGACGGTACATGTTGTTGTGCCCCACATAGAGATTACCATAAAGTGTCAGAATGTGTACACGGAATGGATGTGCCTAGCAGGAGATAGACGGTACAAATACTAAAACCTAGAAAGTGTTGTACCCTATACAACGCAACTCATTATAGTCGAACAAACATGATGCTCATACAAATATAGTTTGACACACCTCCATAAGCAAGGTGAGGGGCATCAAGCAAGCGAAAAAAAGGGATGGTTACAGACAACTCAACAAAAGCAACAAAGCAGAGCCCGTCGACCAGCACTCGTCGACGAGCCTCATCGACCAGCGTCCTCTACAAAGATGCGCGACCAACACCTCGAGAACCTTCTCGATAACCACACCTCCGTGTCGAGTTCTGCGGGAGGTCGACGCCGACTTCTGTGGACAGTTCGACGCCGAACTCTGCGCGCAGTCTGCGTCGACTTTTGCGCGCAGTCTACGTCGAATTCTGCGTGCCCTCGGCTGCGAAGTCTGCTCCGCCCAAGCGAGGACGGGGCCAATTCCCGTCAACAGCTCCCACTTAAATCCTCAAGGCATGGTGCATCTTGAAGTGACCCAGCCAGTAGAATGTGGCATTTCCAAAAGATGAGGTTCCATGTTTTAAACCCATGCTGGCGAGTTCTGTCTGCGGAGAGTCACTTTACGCCAGGCCCTCGACTACGGGGGAAGGCATGGGTTCTGGGAGCGATCGTAGCATTCCCTATGTGTTCACATATTTACAACAAGAATTGGCAAGAGCTCCACTAGAGAAAGTTCACAATAATGATAACAACAATATTGGCAACAACTACTACATCAGATGCAAGTGCCTAGCGCAGAAGCGGGTCGACTTCCAGCATAGCAAGGTCGACCGTGTTCCAGCACTACAAAGTCCGCACCACTCCAGCGCTGCAGAAAGGTGGCTTGCAAACGCTACAAGTCGATGACGTGCCAACGCTGCAGCAAGGTGGCTGTCCAGCGCTGCACCTGCAGATGACAACAGCGCACCTACTGCGGGATTCACTCTACAACAATGGTAGGAGCTAGACTACGGGGTTGGCACGAGTTGTATGAGTGATCGTGGGTTTCCTTAGCATTCTCTAGCACTTGTGCGTTCACACAACAATTTGGCAAGAGTTTCAATATGGAAAGTTGTATTGCTGTTTAATTGAACAAGCAATGGAAAGAACGAATACACCAGAGCCTAGCAACCTAACAGGCAAACTGGTCGACCACCAGCACAGCAAAGTCGACACTCTGTCATCGTAGCGTAGAGGCACTGCGCCAGCATTGCAGACGAGCGATCTACCAGCAAATAAAGTCCGCATCTCGCCAGGGCTGCACCAAGGCAGCTTGCCACCGCTGCAGCAGAGCAGTCAGCCAACGTTGCAACCGCGGGTGAAAGTAGTGCAGGTGCGCACCCACTTCGCAGATGCGAGGCGACAGTCGAGCACATCCTCTACCGTCGCGTGGGTGCCAGGTCAGCCACGTGCCGACGATCACGCTAGAGGCTCCACGTCGACCAACCCAAGGTCGCCTTCGCCATCGCTACCTCGACGACGGTCGCGTGCCTCCGCAAATCCTCGTGGAGGTAACCTGGCTGATCGGGTCGACCACCCAGTGCACACCCTGGTCGACAAACTCCCTCGTCAACCACCGCACGCGTTGAAGACCACCCTAGTCGACGGCCCGTCTGTCGACCAACACAGTCATCTACAGCCGTCGAGGTCCCATCGTCGACGGCTTCATCGCAGCAGTTCCCTGCAGCTCGACGAAATCCCTCGAGCTGCTCGCCCTGGCTGGTGTCGACCACTATGTACAGTTGGCTACTTCTCCCGTGCACCCGACCAGGAAGTCAGCGTCGCCCAAGCGAGGGCGAGGCTAACACTCCATTCCCGTTAACACCTACTTTGCAAGTGCTCGTAGTTGGTTGGTGCGACGTGCACTATCACAGCGCAGATGCCAAGTCGACCACATGCCATTGATTACTCCTAATCAGTCGCATCAACCTTAAGATACCACTCCAAGGTCAGCTTTGCCAAAACCACTTGGGCGACGGTCGCACACCCCCGTAGAACCTCGTCGTCCTGGCTACTTGGTTGACGGGGAAACCCGCAAGTCGGCCAACCACGTCGACTTCATCCCCAAATCGGCTAACCACCTTTCTCAATCAGGTGAAGCTACGATCTAAGTATACAGGAGTGCTTGCGCTGGTGGTGCCACAGGGGTCCAGCAGCTGTCTGACCGTGTCGTCACAATTGCATGAATGTGAAGGGATAGTGGGGAGCGAAGGGGGGCTGTACAAAATGTACATACTGTACATAGCGAGCTGCGCAGTGCCGAGGATGGGATGCGAAGGGTCGCGGTGGCGCTTGAGGTACGGAGGGAGTCTGAGGGGTGAGAGGGAGGGTGATGTCTGCCGGAGCGAAGGGTCGGGGAATGCATGGGAGCAGTGCGGGGCGGCACTTACGTAAGGAGGAGGGAGCAAGTGGGAATTGCAGTGCAAGGCAGCGGCAACAGAGGCAGGAGAGTTACCACCGGCACATGGATGGGTGTGTGCGTGCATGTGCATTTGTTTTCCTGTGTGTGCAGGCAAGCTCCCAGGAGCCAGCTGGATCTGGGAAGTGTCAGCTGGAGGCAAAGTAGCTAGAGGCGGGAACAGAGGAAGCAGGCAGCAAGGAGGGTATGACAATGAGTGGAGACACATCGGTTCATGACAGTGCAATAGATTGCCGTCACCTTAACCCATCGGGTCAGCGAGGATCGACGAGCAATTGATGGCGCGGCACCGCTGTTGCTGACACCACATCCGTCATTACTTGCGCGGCATCCGTCGTTGCTGGTGCCCCAGCATCAGGGTAAATAATTTGGCACACACGGACAACATATGGCACAAGTGAGAAACTGAGATTAAAAGCCTTAGTAGGATGGATGAAATGAGTCAGAGAAGGGCAGTTGGGACAATGGAGATGCACAATTGAGACGCACCGCGATCATCGGTCAGAAGATAAACAAAGAGGCGAGCAAGGAGGGTGGCGGTGGCGAGAGTAGATGGTGCAGGCTGCGAGGCAGAAACTGTGGTGGCTCGAAGCTGAAGTGAGCAGTGCTGAACTGCGCTATGGCGTCGGCCTCCCTCGCCATGCCTTGGATGGCCTGCAGCGGCCTGCGCTGGCCTTGCCTGCATGTACGGGCAGAGATGATGGGGAAAGGGGGAAGAAGGGGCGATGGGCGAAGCGAGGTGGGGAGGAAAGTGGGAAGGCGAGAGGATGCAAGTTTTTAAAGAGCAAGCATAAACATTTGAGCTGCGGTCTAGCTACGATGGCGCAGAGAAGGGAAAAGATGATAGGGTGGTAGAGACGGTTGTAACGGAAGTAGAAAGAGGCATTGGCATGGTCGACGCACCAGGTGGCTTCCGCGCGATTGTTGTCGGGGCACATGGGTGGGACGGTGGGCGTGGGCGTGTGTGGTATTTATCACTGTTGCACGGCCACACCCATTTCCCAACTCGCGCTGCACCTTCGTCGCCATGCTGCTGCTGGTGACAAATGCTAGAGGTGCGGTTATGATCCGTCAGGTTGGGAGACGATTTTTGACCAGGCCGCGGGTCGCTCGGTCTGCCATAGCTCGGTCGTACTGCATCTGCGGCTGTTGGCACGCCACCAGCGTGACATCTGCGGCCACCACGGACGGACGCGGCAGTCGCAGTTGGCGTGCCACCAACGCGACATCCGCACTTGGCGCACCACTAGTGCGGCAACCACTGCTATCACCACGCTAGTAGATGGCATGGGGGAAATTGGATGGCAGGGGGGAGAGCGGATGGCAAGAGGGTAGGTGGATGGTCGCTCTTCTAAAGTGTTGTGCCATCTCGTTCTTCAACCTCTCCCTCGTGCATCGATCTCATCTCCAGACACTTAACGGAATGCTATGATGCAAGAGAACAATCAACAGTTATGAGTACGAGACTCCTTTGTGCTCGAGCAGGAGAAAATACTTTAAACTAAACTAGACAAAAATGAAAAACAAAATCAATAAACGAATATTTGACGAACAAAATATGAAAATAGTAAACGGTTCAAACCTTGCTAAACTAATGAGGAAGGACAAGAAACATTGATATACTAACCTGGACCTATTCTCACGTGGTGATGAATCACTGCAAAAGCATTTCATCGAGAATCATTGGGACCTCTCCGAACTCGTCATAAGAAATATGCAAATGCCTGCAGTTGAGAAAAACCATGACACAACTGTCGAGAGCAGCTAACTAAGAGAGACTACACCTGATGCCCGTTTTAGTCCCCCAAGGTCGGCTTGTGCTTTGGGCTTATATCCGATTTCGACAGTTCACACACCTCGTCAGGTTTCGTCACGGTGTTGATGTGCTTATAAGTGGCACGGGTTGTTACATGCTTGTCTTTTCCCCAACAGTACCGGGGCGGCGTTAGTTGTTTTGCTCTCTTTGCATGGGTAACCAGGATTTTCGCCCCACACAAACACAGATCATTTCATTTCGACATTCTCGCTGGTCACAAACACAGCATTGTCACCCCCGCCCAATAACATTGCAACACCTGGGCAACACCCTCACCCCCCACAATTAGCCCCGACATTGGTACAAAGTGAAGCACATGTGCACAAGATGTACACCAAACACATTCGAAGAGGCAAATTCAACCCTCACACAGCGTCACATTTCCAAGGGAGCCAACTCCCTCCTCACAGCCGCATCCACTCTGCGGCCGCGAGGTACCCGTTCATGACAGCGGAAGCTCCGGCGTCAATGAGCTCCTGGCGGCGGGCTGTCTGAGCCACCCAGTCCGGGGTGGGAACGTGCATCCACGCAGGGAGCACCCTGCCGCGGCGACGAGGGGTCTCCGGCGGGGGGGTGTCCGCGTGCGTCACGGGGGGGGGGGTTGTTGAGATCAAGCGCGGGGCTCGCGCGCTCCATGCGAGCCATGATGATGGGGTTGCGGATGTCGAAAAGCGCGCACAGGTCGCGCGACGTGATGCACGTCGCGCGCGCGTAGCCGATCAGCATCTCGCACGCCGCGCGCGCGGTACGACGTGCCTCGCGGGGGGCGGGGTTGTTGTCGTCGTATACCTGCTGCATGTGCGCCGGCGCCTCCCACATAACCGCCGTGTCGCGGCGCAGAGGCTCACGCGCAAGGGGGTCTTCCCCAGGCTTGGCGCACGTGGGCTGGTTGTCGTCGATGCCCACGAAAGCCTCGGCCGACAAGGCGCTCGGCCCGAGCCCGAGCCTATCGATGAGGAGGCCAAGATCGTTGGCCTCCTCGTCGAGGCCGGTCTCGGTCCCGTCCGGGCCATCGACCACCGTGGGGGCGTTGTTCTGCGGGGTGACCACCACGTGAGGGAGCGAGAGGGCCCACACGAGCGGGAGACACCCCGTTCGCCACCAACAGCGCTGGATGGCGCGCGGGGGAATATCCATCCACGCGTCGTTCAGCCACTCGACCACGGCCCTCATGTTTGGCCTGAAGTGAGCGACGGCCGACGTCGCTCCCTCTGCCGTCCAGGTGCGGGTGAAGGCACGGAGCCAGTGCTGCCGGTACCGTGCCTTCGCCATCGAGATCAGCCCCTGGTCGAGCGGCTAGGTGAAGCAAGTGGTATTGGGCGGCAGATACACCAGCCTCACATTCCCGAGAGCCACGGTGCGGAAGCCGAACAGGTCCTCCGTGACGGCACCTTCGGTCTTGAGGGAGTGACTGCTCGCATTGTCGAGCAGCACCACAATCTTCTTGCCTTCCGCGTACATCGCTGCATCGAGCTGCTCGATGAAGTGGGTAAAAAGCTGAGGGGGGGGGGAGGCGGAATAACACATAGAGTAGAACGTGAGCGACACTTGACGAGCCTTGAAGAGCACATATACAGCGGGGGGTGGGGCGGTATAAAAACATTGACCGTAACCGGGGTGGATGAGAGGCTTACGCTGCTTGTCATCCATCCCTTCGCATTGTGCCACCAGTAGACATACTCCTCGGGGTTGTAGTCGGGGCGGAAATCGTGAGGGCGACGGGACTTGGAGATGACCAACGGCCGAAACACGCGGGTTCCGTCAGCGTTGACGAGAAAGCCAACGGTGAGCCGTTGCTTCGCGATCTTGCGGCCGGCCGTGCGCACACAACCGTAAGTCTTCCGCGGCTGGAGATGTACAATGCAGTCTCGTCGAAATTGAACGTGAGGCACGGGGTGACGGCTAGGTGCATCAGGAGCTGCGGCAACTTCTCCTTGGTCGTCCGCACGGCGTTCATGTCCTGGTCGGCCGCCTCGCCGACGGCGCTCATGCAGCGCACGCCCTGGCGTCGAAGCGCGCGACGAACCCAGCCGATGGAGCACCGGAAAGTGGGCGGCCCGCCGTTAGCCTGTGCCATATTCGCGACATGGTCGCGAATGGTGGCAAGAGTGAGCGGGACACCCGCGGGGCCCGCGTTTGCGATCCAGCGAGCCATCGCGCGCTCGAGCTATGGGTACGCGCCGCCACGGACGCGAATGTTGTCAGCGTCAGCATCGGTACGGACCCAGCGATCCGCGCCTTTCAGAACGCGACCGATCGTGCTTCGGTCGGGGCGGATGCCGAACCTGGTGAAACACCACCGGGAGAGGTCCACATGGCGAAGGTGCGGATTCGCGACGTGGTGCTCGCAAATCGCGCGCTTAATCGGCAGGCCGAGCTGCGTGCGGTGGTAGAGGCGTGGGATTGTGGTGTCGGTGGTTATGAATGAGTTAATTGGTGGTGCGTGTGCACTCTTATTCTAACATTCTGTTAGCTGCTTGACGAGGTGTGGTGAGTGCATTCTGAAGTGGTTGTGCACACAAGTGCTTATCCTCGTCTGTAATGGGTCTCGTTTTGAAGCCGAATGAATTCCGGTAACCACAGCCATCGGAGGTGACAGGTCATTGATGCTCATCGTGCGGACGGGAGAGGGTCTGTATTGAGCAGGTGCAGGTTCCACATGGGCTCATGCATTTGCCGGTGGTGTGTTTGGCGCACGTTGAAACGGCCGACGTGTCAGATGAATGTGCACGAATGTGGCTGCGAGGAGTTGTGGCTTTCGCATTCCTGCATTCGCGATGTCACCCTGGCCAGAAACCTGGCTGATGCCGGGGGTATGTGGTTTGTTTTTTCGTCTGAATACATCTGTGGTCGTTTCTGTGCAACTCGGCCATGTAGTCCAAAGGTGCGTGTATCGTGGGTGCAGCCCAAGGGCAAAAAACCCACAAGGGCAGAGTTTCCAATTGGTGCAGACCAATTGCGCGTGCATGGGGTGAGCATCATGTGTAGTTGTGTTGTGAGGCGGTGTGAAGAGGAACTAATTGTGTTAGTGTGAGGCGACATGGGGAGCAGAGTCAGGGGGTGGTGGAGGGGGAAATGTTGTTGGGGGGTAGCAACGGAGCGAAACACTCACGCATCTACAACTTGTCCAGCAGGGGGATGAGAAGGATGGCAACTTAAAGAATATTTTTTAAACACTTTGGTCGGAAAATTTAGTAAGGCACAGCTCAAACTACCAAGTTTGAAATTGGAAGACAAGAGATGTACAAGCAACAGTAGTGAAAACATTTCCTAATGTACACTAAGACATTTTTTTCATATTGAAAGTTCGATATGTGGACACAAAATAAACTCAACAATGAAGCCCACTCCAGTCGTGCGCACAATCAATTTACTAAAGTCGTAAGTAGAGAAGTGTAGAGCTGACCTTGAAGAGCATATCTATTCCGAAAAAGAGAGGAGAAACAATAGATTTGTAGGAGGAGTTGGTTGGTTATAATTCATGATTGCTTGGGCTTGATGGTTTGGAACCGAGTGCTGGTTTGGTTATGATAAGGTTAAGAGAAAGCTTTGTTGTAATTGGTTACCACTAGTTGGTTGCAGTGAAAGCTTCTCTGGTTGGTTTTCTTTAATTGGCTTCAACTGGTCTTTGGTTAAAGGTTGTGGTTAAGACCCAAGCTCCTCCTCCTATTTTATCTCAATTTCTGAGAGAGGAAGACGGTAAAGGGAGCTCAAAACAAGGAGGAGGGGCAGCAGGTTGACAAGCTGGCTCTCACTGCTTATTGTGTGCTATGGTTGTCAGAAAGGGTGGGAGTGGGGAGTGGTGGGGAAGGGGGAAAAAGAAGGGAGAGATGAGAGGTGGAAAAGAGTCGGTGAGATTGTCTATGGGTGGCTTGTATTAGGTAATATGGGAAGGAAGAGAGTCTTGAGTGGAGATGAGGGAAGAGGAGAGAATGGGGAGAGGGTAGGGGAGATCATGCTTTAGCGCAGGTTCCAAATGCACTAAAGGCCCGGCCAGTTCCAGGAGTTGACATGGGATGTGCAGCAGGAATGGGGGATGCGGAGACAAAATGGCTAAGGATTTTTTGTCAAGGTAAAAGTTTTTTGTCAAGCTGAAGGAAGACAAGGATGCGTGGAGGGGAGGGGGGACGGGGTGGAGGCAAAGATTTTATCGTGCGGTTGTTTATGGGTAAATGGCATTAATAGTAGGGTTGACTATTACCATGGGCTCGCACATGGTAGTCCTTGATACCAGAAGCGATGGGGCGTGGCGGCCAAACTGATGATGTGGGACCATTCTGAATTCCGTGAATGTGTCATAGATGCTTACCAATAATTATCTGTCAAGTTCATGAGTTAGGCTGTGATATATTGCACATGTGCCACTAGTCTCTCATAAAAGTCTACGTGCAGCACCATGCGTCGATGACCGACCACGGCCCCTCCCACCACGTCGCACATGTGTACAGGTGGGTGGCCCCTTTCACCAGACACGTCATAGGCTGCTGCACTGGTTCTTGGCTCCTTAACACATCCTCAATAATATTGTCATCGACGCCATCCCCTAACGATACTTGCAACTCCGTCATGATCCGATCAACCTTAGACCAATCCAATGGTCCTAATGCCTGATCCTTGTTGCCCCGACGCACCCTAGCTACTTGCCGTACTCGTGTGTGATAGGATATGACCAATCTATCCATCGAGTTATTCCAATGCAAGACAGCGAAAGCCACCTATGGCACAATACTTTCTTGGAACGAAATACGCCTGGGGCGTAACTGAACATGAGGGAATGGAAGGACTTGTTGACTGACCTATTGGCTTCGTGAGCAAAAGATTCAACATTGTTCGGCAATAGCCATTTGCTGAACCAAGCAAGAACCGACTTGTGCATTTTTATGCATGCTCGTACGTATGACATTCCCACTCCCAATACTCAGCGAGACTTCTTGGAGGGACACATCTAGACTTTGCACAACTGGAGTGGTCACACGTCCAATGGCTTGGCGCCGTGGCTTGGCTTGGCTTGGCGTCCAATGACTTGGCTTGGCTTGGCTTGGCTTGGCTTGGCTTGGCTTGGCTTGGCTTGGCTTGGCTTGGCTTGGCTTGGCTTGGCTTGGCTTGGCTTGGCTTGGCTTGGCTTGGCTTGGCTTGGCTTGGCTTGGCTTGGCTTGGCTTGGCTTGGCTTGGCTTGGCTTGGCTTGGCTTGGCTTGGCTTGGCTTGGCTTGGCTTGGCCCTGACTTTATCAGGGCCGCTTTCTTCAGCGTGCCAACGCGCATCATAACATGGACAGAATGCGAGCCAAAATGCTGCGCCACAGTACTCTCTTCATCGTCTGCGTGTATCTCATCTCCACCACGCTTTCGTTTCTGGCGCCCAACGCATCGAGGCAAATTTTGTCCAATATTGTTTCCTTTAGCATCACCATCGTGCACTGCACCATTGTTGTTGCATCTAGTAATAGTCTCTGTTGCGTACAAACCACCCATAGTATCATCTCCTTATGAATGAAAATAATGGAAGAAAATATTATTGACTAATTGAATCACATGAGTTAAAATCACACTTATGTAAGCATCCTTACCAATCAATTTGTCAGCGCTGGTCTACGGAGTCATCCCACTAATAAACCATGAGTCATCGCCTGAACTAACATGTGCATACACGATGAATGCACTGGCCACAGACGAGGGCTGTGCACCATGCATTGGATGCAATTCGTAACTCCAAAGCTTTACATACTGCCACTGCACGTCAACTTGTGCATTGCCCACTTCGGCCTCGTCAATCACATCATCGATCGCAGTGGTCCACCTATCCCCTGCTGGGCCAGATTGCACATCGGCATAACCCACAAAGACCTCTATCGCCCCATGTTCCCCCCCCACTCTTCGTACATTTCTCAGTTCCGAAGATTTCTACTTAGCTTCATCAAGTGTCATGTGTACATACTGTTGGCAATGGTGCACATGGCTTTCCAGACCGATTGCACAATGCCGCTTTGAGTGATGCCGTTGCCTCTTTCACCAAACCTTCTTTTCTCAACCATTGCCGCAGCCCTTCCATTGTAGCCAACCTCATGCTTCTCAATACAAATTGCCTTGTTCACCACCACCGGCACCCGCACCGCATCTTGAAGCTCTTTGCAGAAAAGTTTGTAGAACGTTTTCTTTGCGTGCCACCAATCTACTCGATGGTTCAGTTTCCACTCCGTCGTAGTGCCTTTAAATGTTATCCCTTGATTTGAAAGATTTCCTTCCACATCAAACCCCAAGAGCACCAGCTCATCAACTCTTTTGTCGAATGCAACCCGCTCCAATCGCACGGATGAAGTATCATCAACCCCTATTCTTATTTTCATACAGTGTAATATATTCTGCGTAACAGCATCTATGAATAACATGGTACACTACTTGCCCACGTAGACATGTAACCACCAACCATCCACCGTCACTCATTCTCCAAGAATATCTCATTT